CACCCCCAGCCTCTGCTGCGGGAGAGCGGGGTTGGGTGAGGGTGCTGGGACCACAGGCAGGGACCCGCTGCCATGCGCAGCCCCGGGGGTGCTGGACTTTGGCCTCGGGGAGCCTGCCAGGGTGCGGGGTCTGGCTGCAGGAGCCCCGGCGCAGCACCGGGAGGGCAGCTCCAGCAGGGCCCCCACTCACCGTGGGCACTGGCGCCGGCAGGAGCTCCACGAAGTTGCTGGGGAAGAGCCCTCTGCGGTGCCGGCACTGCCCATCCCACCAGCCCTCGGCCTCCGTCTGCGGCGGGCAGGGCAGGCGGCAGCGCCAGGGCCCAGCCTTGGGGTCGCTCCCATCCCCGCGCCCCCTCACCTTGCTGAGGACCTGGATGACATCTCCCTGCCGCAGCGGCAGCTCATCTGGCAGCTCTGGGGCGTAGTCAAACAGGGCACGGCAGAGCTGCGGCTCCTGGTCTGCACAGGAAGGGCAGGACTGGGCTTGCGGGGTCCGGCTCCTCCCCAGGTCCCCCCAGCACCCCAAGCAAACCCCCCAGGGCACAGCCCCATCCCACGGCATGGGGATGGGGTGACTCACCCAGCTCTGGTGGCAGGATGGGGGCCGGGTACTGCCCCGCCGGCCACGGCTCTGCCTGTGGGAAAGGAGACCCGCTGGGGCATGGGGTTCCCAGCTCCCAGCCAGGGAGCAGCCCCGGCAGCCCCCGCCAGCTTGCAGAGCCCCAAACTGCCCCCAGCACCGAGCCCCCCACCCACCTTCTCCTCCGGCACTGGGAAGGGCTTGGGCATCTGCTTCACTGCGGTGTCTCAGCCTGCGGGAGCGGGGAGAGGGTTCCCTGCCACGGCCGAGCCCCGAGCGCCGGTGGGGAGCGCAGCCCCGGGGCCCGGCTGTGCAGGTCCGTGGCTCTGGGTGCCCACGGGGGGCTGCGCCCGCAGCGGCCCCACAGCCCAGCCCGGCTGGGGAAGGCGTGCGTGCTCACAGCAGCTCGGAAGGGCTGGTGCGTGGCCTGGGCTAGCGCTGTCAAACGGTGGATTTAGCAGAGCAGCCCCAGCTGGCCCTGCACGGATCCACGGCTCTGCCTCGCCCAGAGAGGGGAGGGGAGAGACCCCGAGCTCCCGCGGGGCCAGGAGCAGCCCCAGGGCCCCTGCCCCGACCACAGCCCGCGGTGCAGCACGGCCGTGCCCAGCACCACCTGCACAGC